TGTGTGTGTGTGTGTGTGTGTGTGTGAGTGTGTGTGTGTGTTCACCTGCAGACTGGCCTGGAAGGCGGAGCTCATTAGTTGGTCATGGGGTCCGCTGCGGTTCAGGAGACTCAGGTGAACATAGAACCAAAACACGTAGAGCAGGACAGGAACCACGAGCAGTAACACAAACCTACAAACACACTGCACTAACACACTGAGCTACACACACACACACACACACACACACACTGTCAATATTGATAATCAATATGTGTGTAATTTGATCAACACGTCACTTCCATCGATAAAGGATTGAGACTGAAGCACCAGGAACTGGTTGTTCTACAGGTTCTCACCGACAAACATGGAGAAGAGCTTTGTCTCTAAATACATATTAAGCACTAAATGTGATGTTTCATGTGATGTTCGCTGATTCTCTGAAATGAAAACAAATGTCCCTCAGGAGACGATAAAGTTTTAAAGTCACACAAACACACATTCATCAAGTTTATAGATGCTCAGATTCAACCTGGACTCACATGATTGACAGTTCGCTCTCCAATCAGCTTCCAGGTGTGAAGAGAGGCCACGCCCAGCAGCAGCAAGTACGAGAACACACCCATGTACTTCACCCTGACAGACACACATGTTATCACACATGTTATCACACACATGTACTTCACCCTGACAGACACACACGTTGCACACACATACATGTGTCACAGATCAGATTCTTACCCGACAGCTGCAGAGCAGGAAGCTCCAGAGACGAGAAGCCAACTGAACCTGGACCAGGAGCTGAGGAGGAGACAAGAGGAGACAGGGGTGGATGGGAGGAGACGGGAGGTGCAGTTAACGCCTCGTGTCCCAGAATTACAAGTGAATCATGACACGCCTGAGGTCGTGCAGAGGTCAAAGGTCAGAGGTTGGCTTACCTGCTTGAAGAGTTGTGGAAACGCAGGTAGGAGAGGAACGCCAACAACACGAAGAAGATGAGAACAGACTCCAGTAACATGAAACGTGATTGGACAATTAGCGAGTTCTCTGAAAAACAGCAAACATCAAACTGATTGATTCAATAAAGGAACGCCTCACACTGAATATAGAGCCTGAACGTCTCACACTGACACACAGACTCTGATTCTTAGAGCAACAGTAACCCAGGTGATGAGTATAGTGTTGACGTAATGACGACTGACCCAGCAGCAGCAGCAGAGCAGCTCCCAGAGCCGACAGGTGAGAGAAGTTCAGCTCCAGCGTCAGCAGGTAAACCAGAGGAACACAGAGCGCTCCACACAGGGCGGGCAGCAACCGCAGACTCCACACACTCACGCTGCTGGGATACTCTGTCACACAAAACAAACACCCCAACAGCCTTTGACAAGATTTAATCACTGAACTAGTTTAAATGAGAGAACATCTGGATTCAAGTAGTTTTAATCAAATAACCTGTTTTGAACAGGTTTGACCTGGTTTACACAGATTCCAAACATAACCCTGAAACTGTTTCTAAATGGTTTTTAAACCATTTTATTTACTTGGTTTTACCATTGACCCCTGAGTTAAACTGGTCTACATTTTGTGACATTAGCAATAAAACAGGTTAATGACCCATTTAAACTGGTTGAAAGCAAAACATGAACTAGTTTTAATGAGATTAAACAAAAGATAAACTGGTTTCAACCAGAAACAGAAATTTATACCTGCTCCAATTCTGTTCCACACAAAGTTTCCATCAAATCCTCCAAGGTACGCTGCAACTCACACACGCACACGCACGCACACACACACACACACACACACACACAATTATGACTTGTACACAGTAATAACAAAGACCATGTATTGCGTGGGCTGGGTTAAAATGGTTAGAATTAGTCATGGTAACTGACCTCCGAGGGCCAGGATCATGTGACCGAGTGGGGGTCCGCTGTCATCGATGAAGAAAACTCTCTTCATGTAGAGAGACACAAACTGACCATAATACACCTCATCAAACCTAAACACAAACAGACACACAGTCAGAGTTCCTGTTGGGCTGCACAGGTGACGAAAACAAACACACTCACACCACAGCGCTGGGGTAGTTCAGGTGACTGAGTCTGGACCACAGGGACCACAGGGAAACCAGGACCAGCACCACGTCCACCTGAGCCGTCACCACCAGGGGGAGCTGCAGCATCATCATCGACACCCTGATGGACGACAGGAGACAGACAACACACACAACA